TCCTCTTCCTCCTTCCTTGTCCTGCCGCCTCTCCCCCTTCCTTCTCCCTAATGGATCTTTCCTCTCACATGCACAGGTACACACATGCACATGCGCACACATACACCTCAATTTGAAGCCATGCGTAGAGAATTCAGTGATGATTTGGTGACAGTATAGCTATATCTAGCTCACTCTGTCTTCTGTTTCTCTCTCTCTCCAGTGCTGTAACTTTTCTGCACCTAAACAAGGAGGCATGCTTCCTTTTCTTTATAACCGCCTCCAGGTCTCTTTGGCCCCAGGCTTTTATTGCATTTCAATTGGTCAAGAAGCCTCTGATTACTCTCAACTTCTCCCCATCGTGACCATTCTTGCCAAGGTCCTAGAAAGGTAATACAATAAGATTTTGGCTTGTAACAGTACCAAGGAAAACCTAGAAGTTAGCCATCAAAGGGAAAAAAAGGATATGCCCATTCATCTAAAAGTAGTGGCCAAGCTGTGTTCATAAGAACACATTATTTGGCTTATGTTTAAATCATTTGTAACAACTGAGGTGGCTCACTGCCTAAGTCATATTTATATGGTGAAGACCAGCAAAGCATATGAAATATTTTGGCTCACTCACCCTGTGTATATTCAACTCAAGGTAAGAGGTAGTTTACTCTTCAGAAATGCCTGTGGTGCAATCTAGCTTTCACTGTTTAAGAACCAGTTCTTATAAACCTGTTTTTAAGACCTGTTGTTTAATTCAGAGACATCAAACACAGTTGTAAAACCAGTTCCTCTATTAGACTGTACCAAGAAGAGCCCTACTTCTATAAATCTTTTCATTATATTATGTAGCTGTCTCTGTTCAGCAGACCTACAGTCTTCTCCTAGTACCTGGGTTCCCCCTTTTATAATGAAATTGCTCCCATTTCAACAACTGATGACTTGGGTTGATAAAGATGCTTTATCATAATTTGTTAATTTAAAGGCATAATCATGGGGGTGCATGGGTGGCTCAGTCAGCTAAGCTTCTGCCTTTGGCCCAGGTCATGGTCCTGAGGTTGTGGGATAGAGCCCTGTTTCAGGTTCCCTGCTCTCCCTCTGCCCCTCCACCCATTTGTACTCTCTGTCTCCCTCTCTCTCAAATAAATCAATAAAATCCTTTAAAAAAATAAATAAAGGCATACTTATGTTTTCCACCAACATCTCAGTGTGCTTCTGTCCTGAAATGTGCTGTAGTCTGAGAAGTGGGAATCTGTTTCATCAGGCATTGGTGAACCTTGATTCAAAAGGCTGTGGTTGAAATAATACCTATTTAAAGGTGTATCTCCTAATGTTGATCCATATAGATTTTTTTTTCAAAAATGTTTAAAATGTCATGGTAAATTAAAAAAAAATGTCATGGTAAATTACCATACATACAGGATATGCCCCTAAAGTATTGGGCATAGAGAATAAAGTCTGTAAACAAATTAATCTTGTCTATTGAAGTCACCTGAAAACAAACATAGGACTATCCACAAGAGATTGAGCAAGAGATTGCAATGAATTTGCATTGTTAAGGAAAACTCACTTTATTTCTTTACTACTGACTAAAGAGTTAGTTGTTTTTTGAGAAGTTGACCAAAAATATCTAAAATTCAGGGCTGTTGGTTAAGTCTCTGCCTTTGCCTCAGGTCATGATCCTAGGGTCCTGGGAACCAGCCTAAGTTAGGCTCCCTGCTCAGCAGGGAGTGTTTCTCTTCCTCTGCCCCTCCTCCCACTTGTACTCTCTCTCAAATAAATAAATAAAATCTTTAAAGAAACTAACTAAAATTTTGAAATTTTCAATCAAGTCTAAAAACACTTTTAAAATATAAAATAAGAAGTTGGCTTTGAGCAAAATAAAACCATTATCCTCACATCTCTTGGTTCATTGTCCTTCTGGCAGGCACTGCACTTGACAGAGGCAAGGTAAAGCACATTTTTTATTCTGCATAGTTAATATACAAAATATCCTTACTTCCCTCGAGAAACAGTATGATACCTAAAACACTTTGATGGACACTGAGTCTTAAACCTTTATATGACGCTACACAAACTGATTGAATAGAAGTGAACATACTTCTTTTACTTTTCAATTTTTCAATACACTAAGAGTATACCACAGCATTGATAACGTGAAGACAAATATTTGGATTATTTTTAAATTCAAAATTCTTCTGGCTATTTTTCAGTGAAGGGCCTTAAAGGTGAGAGGTAATCAGGTTACCATCAAAGGAAATGCATCTGTTACATTCTTGCTGTCTTCCCGCCCCCTGAGTGAATCAAGCCAAATGTCTGCTTTCCCTTTATGTGCTTCCAAACAGCGGCGGAAAACAGAAAAGTCATTAAGATTTGGGACATGAGAAATTCACAGTACCTCACCACTCCTGAGACCTAAATGCTTTGAGGAGAACAATTAGGTTTTCTTCATTTTCTCTCCCATTTTTTTTTCAAACTTGCTCTGCTCTCCTAAGGAATAATAGTTTATTTACCTCCTTCCCAAACCACTCTTTTCTTCTTAAAAAAAGAAGAAGAAGAAGAAGAAGAAGAAGAAGAAGAAGAAGAAGAAGAAGAAGGAAAGAAACCATCAAACCATCAACAAGAACTCTCTCACCTACACCAGATCAAGCATTTATTTGCTTCCATACCATCTCTTTCTCTTCTCCTACTGAGGAGGGCCTTGATTGCTATCTAAATTTTATTCTTCCATCTGAGCTTCAAATGTCATTCTCTTGGGTCTTGTCAGGAATGTCAGCATACTGATCATTCCCTTGCTCTTTGCTATTCAGCCTCTCCCTCCCTGCAGGTGCACATACACCCTTCCTGCATAGTCTTCCTCCCTATGGCTTAGGCTGCACATTCTTAGCCTCCCTGGAAAGATCGTCTCACCTGTCCACCCTCTCCTTGCTGACCTGTTGACTGATATTCTTCACCATCTGCTCTCTTACTTCGTATATTCTCCATGAGCATTTGCACCCTCTCCCTTGATGTTCAATTCTGACAATACTTGCGACCTATAAATACTTGTGACCAGGCCTAAATTCTCTACTAAATTTCAGGTTCATATTTACTGCTAAGTGGAAGGCAGTGCCTCCTAGATATCTCACAAGTGTTAAAAATAAGACAATAGACCCCAAACGGAGTCGCTTATGCTAAGCCCCCTGTCACCAAACCAAGACTTAATTTCATTATAGTTTCAGCTCTCCCAGAAATGGAATATTAAACCAGTTGATCAGGAATAATCTCACCAACACTAATTAAGTAATCTACCAGAGAAACCCCTGTCATCTCCCAAAGAAAAGTAACCTTGCCATAACCTTGCACATGCTGATATGCCTCTTCTCCATCTTTCTTGTTCCAGCTTCCTTCTGCCCATATAAGTCTTCCTTTTTATACAATTCCTCGGACCTTCTTTCTGTATTCTAGATTAGATGATACGTGATTTCAATTGATTTTTGCTCATATAAACTCTTAAAATATTTCCTATGCCTCAGTTTACCTTTCAACCCAGGTAACTCAATATTTTAGAATAAAATTTATTGATCTGTTTTTCCCACCAGCCCAATGTGACCTTTTCCTCTAGCTCTTATTTCATTAAATGTAAAACCATCAATTTGACTAGTCAAGAAATTTGGGCATTAAACTTGCTCTCTCACTCTCCATTCATCCTCCATGGAATCAAACTCCATGCCCCCTCCCTGGGACTCCAAGATGTCACTGAAATCCATCCCCATCTCTCCACCCCTGCTACATCCACCCTTGGTTGTTGAACTATCACCTGTAGCTTAGACACTGCAGTGGCTTCCCTGCCTCCTCTTTCTCCATGTCTTTGATCTACTCTTTATTCTGTGGCCATAGTCACCTCTCCACTCAAACTCTGGGCTGCATCTAACTATTTCACTTCCAAGCCAGTTTGCCCTCCATCACTTCTTGTACAGGCTAATATACTTCTTCTCCACCTTTGCCTTTTTAACTCCCATGTATTGGTTAGGCTTTGGCTTAGATGTCATTTTCTTTGTAAAACCTCCCTTCACACCAGAATTCTGGAAACTGCCCTTCTAATGGACTCCCACAGTATCCTACTGAATGAAATCTCCTACTCAGTTGCCTGTGTCCAATTCTGAACTTCATAATTTCTGCCTCTTTTGTTCACTGTTGCGGTTCTGAATCTAGCATACAGTACCTGGCATAGGCAAAATATTCTAAATAATTATTAAATAAATTCACGAACTCATAAATGCATGGTTTTAGGACTAGTTGAATTCTAAATGGAATAAACTGGGCCTAGGGAGGGAAATCAAATGCTCAGTAAGACAGTGAATGAGGGCAAAATATTCTGTAAATTATTCTTAATGTCTGTTTTCTATCACATATTCTTTAAAAATGTATTTATAAACTTATGATTTTTACAGGTTTGCAGCAGATTTCTTTAATTCCCATTCTTCACTCCTCCTTGTATCTATGCCGTTAATCAAGTAATTTTACAAAGGTCACTAACTGTGGGCCAGACACATTTCTTACTTCAGCTCTGGTCCACAGGTAGATGTGAAAGTGACACAGTGTTGGTCTGAGTCTCAGACTCAAGAGGCGTTGCATGTTTCTGCTGGTCCTTTTGTGCCTCAGCCATCACCATGAGAAGAAAATGGCTGTGCCCACCTACTGATTCCAGAAGGAGAATAGGAGACCCATGGAACAGAACAACCCCAGCCAAGACACTTCAGCTGAATCCAGCGTAGGACAGCTGACCTCAACTGACCTCTACCCTTGGTTGTTATATAAATGCTTATTGTTTTAAGTTGCTATGTTTTAGGATAGTTTTTTATTACCAATTTTTTTGTGATGGCAATAACTGCCTGGTATATCTGTCACTCGAATGTTTGGGTATAGCTATTCCAGAGAATGGTTATGATATGTACTTGATATTGCTCATTAAAAAATAATAGTTTTGGAAAAATATCTACAGTACCTATATCTAACTAAAGACTTGAATCCAAAATACATAAAGAACTGTGCTTGCTTTGAAAGTACATATACTAAAATTGGAAGAATACAGAGTAGCTTAGCATGTCCCCTGCACAAGGATGAATGCAGATTTGCAAAATGCATAAAGAATTCATAAGAAAAAATACAAACAACCCAATTTAAAATGACCAAAAAAATAAAACCCCACACTTGAACAAATACTTCACAAAAATGTATGCAAAATAGCCAATAAGCACATAGAAAACTATTCCACATCATTAGCAATCAAATGCAAATTCAAACCACAATGAGATATCATTTCACATACATTAGTGGGGTTCTTATCAAAAAACCTGACAGAACAAATGTTAATGAGTATCAGAAGCAACCAGAAGTCTCATTTATTGCTGGCAGGAGTATAGAAATGTCCAACTACCACAACTGGAAAACTCCTTTGCAATTTCTCATAAAGTTAAATTTGCCCCATGACACTGAAATTTCACTTCCAGGTGTCACATCAGTAGAGTAGTATAGAATTTATGCAAAGTAAATATATGTTTACAAAAGGACTTAGAGAAGAGTGTTCCTAGTAGCCTTATTCATAATTGCCTCAAATTGGAAATGACCCAAATAACCATCAACAGGTAAATGAATAAAGACACTGTGGTAAAGTCATACAGTGGAATGCTTCTTAGTAAAAAGGAATGAATTACTGACACACACAATTTAGATCAACTTCAAAAACATTATATCAACCCCCCCACCCCCGACCAAGAAGGCACAAATTTTGTGATGCAATTTGTATGAATTTCAATAAAAGGAAAACAAATCTATGTGTTAGAAACCTGTGTTCTGTTCTGTTTTGTTTTGTTTTGTTTTGTTTTTAGTGGAAATAGTGTAGAACTGACTAGAAAGAAGTTTGAGTGTTTTCTGGGGTTTTGGAAATACTTTCTATTTCCTCAGATGGTGGTTAAACAGGTATATACAATTGACAAAACTCTTCAGAATGAACACTTAAAATCTATGTATCATGTGTAAATTATACAGCTACATCCATAAAAGATTGTTCTGGCCAAAGGGGATGGGGAGAATGTATACACAGGTGAGAAAGAGACACAGAGAATAGAAGAGAAATAATCAAAACTTATGACTACACTTCAGGAGGGCAGTTGTAGTGTTTTGTGACCGTTTGATAACGGATGATAAGGGATGGTGCTCTCCGTATCCACAATTTAATAACAAAAAGAAATGGTACTTTCTATGGGAGATGTGGTATTTGTGAATGAATGGCTGCTACATATGTTCTGAGGTAGTTGCTCTCCTGAAGACCCATGCTGCAGTAAGAACACTGAAACCACCGAGAGCACAGGAGACTACAAATTTTGCACAGCAAGACATTGCTGTACAAGATATCACAAGGTAAGTAGACACTTGAGGCAGATGTGGTGCTTTCCTAACAGTGCACACATAGAACTCTCGAGACTTCAGGTTTGCTTGAATGGAATGGCTTTCACCTGGGCTCTGCACCTGGTGGAATTTCAGACCGGGGCAGCTGTAGCTACTTACTTGGCACAGGTATTTTTATTCGGTACTGTCTTTGGTGCTAGTGTAGGGAAGGGAGGAAACCTTTGCCCTCTACCCACCTAGGTTCTCCAGCTAGAACCTGAAAACAAACTGACAAAAGACATATGAACAAGAGAAAAACAGAATTTATTAATATGAACAGTATGTATATGGGTGGGAGAAACTCAGTGATGGGCGACTGAAAGGGGTGGTGCTGACGTGGACTTACATGGCATCTTAACAAAGAATGACAAATTTGTAGGTAAGTGACAAGACAAAGGGAAAGGGGTTGTTAGGTTTCTAGGGGCTGCAGACTATGAGAGGGTGACTATATGGGAGAAACTAATGGAAAAGGAGGGCCCTCTTAGCAAGGTTTGTTTGTGCAGGTCCACTTTGGGGCCAAACTTTCCATCCTCTAAATGGCCATAGAGCTTCCCTGGGAAAAGGGGATTTGGAGCAGTTTTCATTTTCAGAAGCTTCTGCTTTGAGTCAGATGAGAGAAACTCTTAAAAGGCTTCTTGATTCTCATTATACCAAAGCAGCATATTTGGAGGTGGCATAGTCCTCCACATTAGCTAGTGAGCTGAGACAAAAGTATTTATATTTAGGACTGAGTCATTTTTACGAATCTTGGAACCTGGAAATCAACAAAATTCAGTTCCCCTCACTATGTTCCATGCCCCAAACCTGAACCCCATTGTATACCATAGTATAATAGTTTTGTTTTAAAATGCCCCAGTCCTTAATGAGAGCTGATAGTACTGCCCTCCGGATGGGTTCACTCTAATCACTCTTCTTTTGTAATTTAGATTTAATACTTTGCATAATACCACTGATTAATTCCTGAGGAAATTGTATATAAGCCATGATCAAATCATGTTCATGCACTGGAAAGACTCACTATTTAACAAATTCACTATTGAGAGGAAAATTAGATAGAACCTCTCTCGGTACCATTGGGCCAGCATCTGTGGTTTCAAGCAGAAGGAATACATTGATTTTCTCAAAAAGGAAACGGATGCTTGGAGAGATAGCTGGGGCTCAGAGCAGTAAAAACTTATGTTCCAAACCAGACCAGGGCCACAGAGCTCTGGAGTGCTGAATGCTAAGAACCACAGCCAAAGTCACAGTGCAGGCACCAGACACTCACACTGCAGCTTCCACCATGATGACTGTGGCTTCAACCAGTGCTCTTGCTCTTGGGTCATTCTCCTAAACATCAGTTCCCCCAGAGGGTCCAAATGTCCAAAGGACTGTCCTCCACCTGCGACCCCCTGCATGGGATTTTATTTTTAAGTAATCTTTATACTCCACATGGGGCTCAAATTCACAACCCCCAGATCAAGAGTCACCTGCTCTAATGACTGATCCAGCCAGGCACCCCTGAAAAGCAATCCTAACACATACCTGCAGAAGAGATTTACAAAGGTGATCTTGGCAGCATTGTTTATAAGGCAGAAGGCAGACAAGAAACCATTTACATTAAGTGTTGATCAATACAAACCTTGTCAAATAAATTATAGTAACTCTGAACAATAAAACAATGTATAAAAACCTTGTAGTTATGAAAAGATCTCAAAGAATTTCTTAAGTGTTAAAAAAAAACCAAGCTGTAAAACAGGGTGGATGGTATCCACACATTCATTAAAATAAAATTGTTAAAAACAGAAGTTTGGATAAAAGGGAGGCATGTGCAACATCTATGCTGTATACATGCATAGAATTTTCTTAAAGGATTCACAAGAACCTGTCAATCAGTTTTTTTTCTGGAAAGGGAATTACAGGTTTGGAGTAGAAAAGAGGCACCTTTCAGTGAAAATCCTAGTGAGGGGTGCCTGGGTGGCTCAGTGGGGTAAGCACCCAACTCTTGGTTTAGATCCAGGTCATGATCTCGGGATTGTGGGCCTGAGTCCCATGTCAGGCTCCATGCTCATCATGGAGTGGGCTTGCTCCTCCCCTGGCTCAAGTTCTCTGTCTCAAATAAATAAATATATAAATAAAATCTTTTTTAAAAACCCTATTTATTTTTTTAAACATGAATGTATTACTCTTGCATTAAGGTAAAAAAAAAAGGAATTTTCCATTGCATATGTTTGTAAGCTGAATATCCAACATTTTTCACTGTAGGAACACCTGCAGTAAACCCCTTAGAGAATAGTTTAATTCTTCACACAAACATAGATTATAAAATTATTAGATTAATACAAATTTCATAATAACTATAAGCCCTTTATATGAGGCATACAAATTAAACTTTACAACATACATGATGCTTACTGGTGGGAGACTTCACCTTAGAAATTTGAAAACTAGGGATCAGAGAAGTTAAGCAATTGAGACATCAGAACCAGCCAAAGTGGGTCAGGAATTATCACCGGCTTTGCAGATTCCTGACCAGACTGCAAATCCTCTTTTTGTCTCAGCTACTACTGATCTGTGAGATCAACTATATTTTCTACCTAAGATTCAATACAAACTTAATTAAAATACATTGTGTTGTTTTTCTCACTATTGATTAACTGATACCCATGTAGCTTTGTAGAGAAACTTGGCACTCATCAACTTGGCTCATTCCATTGGCCAGTTTCTTAAGAGATTAATAAACATCAAGAAATTTTATATTTACAATCTATAGTGAATTCAATAAAATTCTTGAATGTCAAATCAGAGATTCATTTTGAATTCTAAGGTGTTGGGAGTAAATTTCATTATTAGAGATGCAAAATTTTAAAAGTCATATTTTTAAAATTATCTTTAAGAGTATAGAATTGGAAAAAAAGAAGATAGAGGTGAATGTGAAAAAAGGGAAAGTAAGTCCCCCATCTTGATTGTGTGAGGAGATGCAATATTCAATTATTTCAAACTAAAATTAATAGGAGAAGTTATCAAGCAAATAAAGTAGTTCTATATACTCTTCCTGATATCAACAACTAACCATGGTAAGGGACAATTCATTTAGAAAAAAGGGAAATCCAATGGTTTGATGACAGCATTTTCTTTCCAAGCATCTAAATTTTATTTTAGAATGTGGTACTAAATAGTTTAATAGTGTTTAGAAATATTTTTGAGCTTTATTTTAATATATGAACTATCATATAGCCAGATCTAAAATCATCAAAGACACTTAAAAATGTGTACAGTGCTTTTTTTGCCAAGTGCCTTTTGGTCACTAATTAGTGCTTTAAAATGCATTTGGAATATTTTACTAGGTTTTCACGTTCCATAGGAATGATTTAGAAGTTCTATTTTAAGATAATTAATCTATGTCAGTGTCCAATAATTTTATATGGCACAAAAACCAGAAAGAATAAACAAGCAAAACCACTGATATTCCACAAATTGTCTATAGGTGAGTAGTAATGACTTGCCAATACAGTAGATTTACAAGCATTTTTCTTAAAATATTTTATTTATTTATTCATGAGAGAGAGGGAAAGAGAAAGAGACAGAGAGAGAGAGGTGGAGACACAGGCAGAGGGAGAAGCAGGCTCCATGCAGGAGCCCAATGTGGGCCTGGATCCCAGGACTCCAGGACCACACTCTAGGCCAAAGGCAGGCGCTAAACCGCTGAGCCACCCAGGGACCCCCCTTT